AATTGATAGAGTGTAGTACAACCGTTTCGGCAGAATGTTGGTCAAAGGATTGGATTCACTAGTCTCTTTGACGAGTTGTTGTTTGGTGCTGAGTCACAGTGGCAAGACCCATTGACGATGCCGACTATCATGCCTGTGAAACATCTGAAAATATACCGAGAGCACCATCCGACTCTTAAAATTATTATGCATACTATGAATTCCGGACAAGGTCAGTTACTCTAGGTCTTCATGCCAATATGACTAATGGGCGAAGACAAGGTTAAATGACTACTGAAACCAAAATCAGTATAACCGCGATGCTGACACTGACTTTTATCCTGCATCTCAAATAAAATAATCATTATAAACTTTAGTTATTCTAATAAGGCTTACATTCATTAAAAATATAATATCTAATAATAAATATTATCAACACTATTATTCAGTAAAGTTTAATTTTTTATTTATTATAATTTACTTGACGACATCCGATAACCGGTTTCTTGGCCTTCTTAAGAGTCGATATGCCAATCTCCATTTGATAAATCTTGACAGTAAATTATGAATAAAAACCGGGTTTCGAAGATTTCTTCGATGATATATTGTGACATGACTTTCCGTTTCGAAAGAAAAGTTGGCTGGAATAAATTCGTGATGTTGTCTTACTGGAACACGAAGGAGGATTGTGGCGTAATGACTACAGTTTTATTGCTCAAAGAAGTCATTGGATCACCGTCCTGCGACCCTGATGAACCCGTGCTAAACTCTCGTCTGTACTGTGGCAGGCATCATCAAAACAAGAATCCATACTTTTTAAAATAGAACAAAAATATACTAAACCAAGCAAAAAGGTGGCAGTATGCAACCCTAGCTGCTTTTTATACACCTAACCTTGAGATCTTAATGAGACATCCCATGATTTAGTTGGCTACCTTATTACATGAGCTTTGCATGGGCAATGACGCATAAGTACACATGAGTCAACATTAGAGGATTGTACGTTAGTCTATTTGTGTAAGGAAACAGCTGCCACCGAACGCACTTCCGGTTCGTGAAGTAACTTCACTCATCTGAAAGCATGTAGAGTGAAGTTGAAGTTACCAGCAAAATCATGGGCTGCTTCATTAAGTTGGTTTAGTATAGTTTTGCTATATTTCGTAAAGTGAAGATTCTTGCTCTGATGATGTCTAACACAGTACAGATGAAAACTTAGCACAGTTTCATCGGTGTTGCAGGACAGTGAGCCCGGTACTTCCTCGCACAGTTCAGCAGTCTCCATTACGGGACAATCCTTCTTCGGTTTCCGGCGAAACCACATCGCGAATTCCTTACAACCAACTTTTCCTTCATAATAAAATCATATCACAATAGACAGTAAATTGCCTGATATTTAGTGGCCGATATCATTTGTTATGAGTCCAATACTTTGTGCTCATTTTAAATTGCTGAGCCTAACATTTTTATTGTTTAGTTGCAGCCATATTCTACTCGTTTCTGTCTTGGACTGATGCCGAGCAAGCTGCATAATAAGTATATATTTATTCACATCATTTTGTTGGCAGTTCTGTACGGGAAGGGCACAACATATTTGTCATTCTACTGGATGCACTACTTATCTGTCTATTTAATAGTAGTGTCGTCTATTTAGAAGATATCAGAGGGCCGCTAGTTGGTAAAGAGTACTAGTTTTGCTTGGTTTTTGTCTTGCACTTCTAGTGATGTCTGTAAGACTATGTGAATAGAAGGTGGCCTGCCTTGTACTAAGCCTCGTGCTTTTCGTGTCTCATTTGTGAGGAGGCGGCAATTTAGTCATGACGAGAAAAGTCTTGATAGTGGCATGAATTGTACAAAGTATTCTCTTACCTCATTTCCTTATGGATAGAATTGCTGTTAGTCTTCAGAGCGTCATAAACAACCTGCACATATCGACAATCCTTTTCTGCCCGATGCTGAAGTCCACCTCCTTCTGTGGACGTTGGGTTGAACGAAGAAGAGGATGGACATCCTCTTCCAAGCTGCCGTATATCTAACCTTTGTCTATTATTGCTCTAAAGCATTCCTATCGCAATGGTGATGTCATCTATCAATACTATGCTCACCGTGGCTTTCAATTCTCGTACAATTTCTGTTAACCTTAGTTTTTAGTAGATACTTTGACCATATCCTCATTAGTAAATGTTTTGAGAGTCGCCCGATTCTCCCGCCTTCCTTAACCCAAATTGGCCTAATACGAGCCTTGTAACTAGGTCCCGTTTCCATTGAGGGATTGGAGTCATATAATGGTATGTTATGGTGTACCGGCAAATACAATTTTGCCTTCTCAACTCCGGCCTAATATAACATGTGAATTGGGTTTTCCTGGCCTCAAAGGGCAAGCCAGTTTTTCTGGGTAGCAAGAGTAACTTCATCCTCTTTCGGAAAGTTGCGATCCATGGGTTTAGTACAATGCAGCCTTCAATCTCCTAGCGTATAATTCACACCTTGGGCCAATGCTTCAAATGCACCTTGAGACTAGTCAGGATAGAAGGCCACTTCAGCCAAAGGCAGGAATGTCTTCACAATTCATGTCGAACCCCATCAAGTCTAGAGCCAAAAATCCAACTTCTCTTTGCATACACAACCTCACCAAGGCAGGAATAGAAGACTGTGCATGCCACGGAGGTTAAATGAAGGTAGAATTCATTTTGTGAATGATGACAGATCTGTGTTAAAATCAACATTTTTAATTATAGGTAGGAAGACCACGATGATGTGGCCTTCGCTCTTCGTTGTGTTGCTTTGGTCTGACCTCTATTTCGAAACTTGCTCGAATTGTCAAGTTGAGCTGAAAATTGGCCAAGGGATTGATTTCACTTTCCTTCATGACAAGTTGCAGTTCAGCGCCTGTGATGCTGGCGAAACGTTTAGAAAATGTACCAAGTACACTTTTTGATACTATAACTACTTAGGCAGACGATGGCGGCCAAATCAGGTTTTACAAGGTCCCCTTGACAACATGACCGAGTTGAGTAAAAGAAAAGCAAATAGGCTTTGATATTTTTCTTGAAATAAAATTGCTGTAGAGACTTTCCTTTCGTAGTAAAGTGCGAGATAAAGTGGCTCGTAAGTTGCTTTCGTCAGGAGACGACGGCTGAGTTTCGTTGTCCCACAACACAGCATCCTCCTTTGTTTCGGTAAAAATGAAACTCGCGCGCGCACACACTCAAGTATAAGTACCCTGACTAGTATAATAGTTATCTAATCATATCATTCGATATATATCTGTATATATTTCTTTTCCTTTTCAGCTATGAGCATAGATAGCATGTTGGATAGAGCGGAATAGTCTTCTAGATTTGCAATTAACTTAGGAGCTTTAGCAGGAATGAGGTCCAGCCCTGACGAAGCACATCAAGTTGCATGACGGAGGAAGGCTCAGACTAACTCAACTCAACAAATTAGGGAGCATGTCCAACACAATTGTCAGGGTAACCAATCACTGGATATCCCTAGGCCCATTCACAACGTGTATCTGAGCTTGTTTAGGGAGCGACAGGAAGTTCAAAAAAGTGCCTTATATACTTCAGCTTTGTGTGATTCAAGCAAGTCCCTGTTGTCTCTATCAATTCGTTTGGGCTAAAGTCTCAGACGTACCTCGTAAAGAGTTGAGCCCATTGAGCAGCCGCCTGTTCAGCTTCAAACTCGACGCACCAATTACACCTTATCGGCCAGCCAAGCAACAGTTGCCTTGACGATAGGCCATGACTCTTTAGAACTGTGATGTTTACTTCGGTGGAGGTTTGCACCCAGATCGCTTCGAGGGGAATGGTGCAGAATATCCGAAGGGTAGTCTGTGGAGTGAGCGGAGTGCCTGCAAAACCAGAGTCTGGCTCCAACTGGCCGGATGACTGGCTCCAGCCATCCACAGGCTCTGTGGCGAGAAGAGGTGTAGACTTCACCGCATCAGGTGGGCTGACGCCGTTGGGCGAGGCTGAGTCCCGAGCCTCGGGATCAGAACCCAGCCTGGCGCGGAAGTTAATCTGGCCGGACTCGAGCCCAAGCGGCCAACTAAGCAACCGATGGCGTTTATTGATGCCAGACAAGGTCAAGTCAGGCTTTAGATTATGATGGACTGTACCAGTTGAAGAGAAAATGTAGTCCAGTGACAGGTACTTCGCAGGAGTAGTCATCTCTGGGGGCCGCGGGTCCAAATACTTTGGCAGAAGGCTCACCAGCTGACTGTGATGCTGACTTTCTGGATTGGCGGAGTGCAGTTGGGGAGCAACAGGGTTGTCTAGGGCTTTTTCTGCGCCAATCTCGCTGTAAGACGTGGGGGAGACGACAAATGAATGGGGCCGATTTGCTTTTTCTCCCTTTACCAGCAGTTTTCGGTCAGCAAAGCGGTGGCGCTTTTTAACTTCGCTCTTATCCTCCCTTTCGTCTAGCTCGGCAACCACGAGAAATTCCTTGAACAGGAAGAACCAGTAGTGGGACCAGATCGGAGTGTCGGCCTCCTTGGGGAAGGGAGACGGTGAAGAAACTATAAAAGCTGTAATCATTTTAAGTCGTATAAAGCAATAAATTGATGCTAATTGAATTTTCCAACAATTCTATGAGTAGGCCTCAGAATTCCATTGCATTTTGCCCAGTCTTGCCGTCCAAAAAACTCTTCCCACCCCGGCAGGATTGGCCTGCAGATTCTAACTCGCCTGGTTTTACTCAGCACCCACATCGAGACTCAAGCCCAGTCATTTGAACCGCCATTCATTACATTGTACCATAACGCCGGAGTGTGAGAGGACAGACATGAATGTCAAGTTATAGCCGGTTGGGATATCCGATGAAGCAAACTCGTATTTCGCAATTACGAATGACTACGTTGCTTACATTTAGGCTGATTAGCTTTCGGTTCTATCAAAGGTTTTGCAGACGAGTTGGATACAATTTCATTATGAAATGTTACCTCCTGACAGTCTTGAAAGTTTGACCCGGTGGTGCCATGTCGAGTCAGATTCCCGAAACTGCAGTCAAGTCCACCCAGGATGAGGTGGTATTTTTAAAGCCTACTCATATCATTGTGGGAAAATTCAACGCT